TGTGAAACGCTTTGAAATGTCTTATTGCTAAAATGAAAATTGATTGATTTGGTAATAATATGAGAACAACAAAGTCATAGTATTAAAAAACAATGGTCATATGATAACAGTCATACTGCTATGAAAACAGTCATAATACAAGAAGAAAATAATATTTCGAGAATAAAGCCACATTATTACAAAAATAGTCATAACACGAGAATAGAGCCAGAATGATATGAGAATAGTTGTAATATCATGACTTTATTGTCGCACGACTTCACTCTGATCATTTTGACTTTATCCTCATTATATTTTTTTAATTAACACTGTCCTGATACTCAGTCATACTATACAAACTGCAGTTTCCATAATTTCATGCTTCAGTTGTCAGAAGCCAATAGAGTTGAAATCAAGAGCAAATCTTTAAACTTCCGCAATGCTGTCGTTCCTTTTTGGCTCCGACTCTGTTCAAACATCCGCTACGTAGAAGACAAAACCTAACATTGGCTATATTTAACTCCTCAAATGTCAACGAGTGAAGTTGGAAGTGGCAAAATTCATTAAGCTGTGAATCATTCCCTTGTTTGTCTTGCCTGCACCTGCAAAGCCTCACGTCTCACTTCCTGCCTGCATCAGACTCCCCCCATACGTCTCAGAAACAGAAGGTCGTGACCTTTCCTCTGATATTGTTGCATTTGGAGCAAAAAAAAATGATATAATGCATTAGAGTCCGGCTTAAAGCAGAGAGAGGCCAGGCTCCACCAGAAACAGAATGTCCTCAACAGCTTGAACCATGTGTGCCCTTACACACACACACACACACACACACACACACACACACACACACACACGCACACACACACCCCCCCCACACACACACACACACACACACACACGCACATATGCACTCACAAAAGCACTGCAGTCACCGTGGCCTTACCTTTGAAGGTAAATGTCACAACTCACGCTGAATAAAGACGCTAATGTCTGTCCCAAAAGTTTCTCAGTTTGCCACTTTCTTTCCCTGCCATGTAAGAAACAGGAAGAACTGCGGGAGATTCTTCCTGGAAAAAAAGCTGCACTGCTAAATTCACAGTTCGACATACAGTTACATTTTCCTATGTAGACGCTACCAAACTTCCTAAATGTCTCTTGCAAAAGTAGAGACATTTAATATCCAATAGCATAATGTCATCCTACTGAGATAAACAGTTTTGGTTAGAGTTATACAAATGTTGACTAAAACATTGGGTATGTCTGGTAAGCGGTTACCTTTCTGCTGAAGGTGAGGGACTTTTACCAGGAATAGCTTGACAGAACCTCAATTCAAAAATTCTAAACCAAGCGTTCAAAATCTGGATCGACTGAGTTTGTTGGACGTTGTATAACGAGATTCGTTGGGTAAACGATTTAGCACTGCTAAAATCAAACTTCAACAAAAGGTCTTCAATGACAGTCTTTTGACATTGTGCCAAACTCCCCAAATATCAAAAGTGAAGGGATTTAATATCCAGTAATATAGTGTCATGTCCCACTACTACAAACGACTAAAACACAGGCGGTTAGCTTCTGCTAACGCTAAGCCACCAATTACCAGGAATAGCTTTGCAGAACCTCAACAGAAAAAACACCCAAACCAACCATTTACAGACTGAAACTTTAACATTTTCCCATTTTCTCTCTTTTCCTTTACGGTCAACCTAACATGTTGGAATGAATCACATCTACAAATTTACTCAGCTCTCTTACTATTCACAGCCTGACTTCCTTGAGACATCTCAACAAAAATCAGTGGGATAACTTCATGTCATAGAATCGACTCAGGTGAACTCGTCAGCCTTATTAGCCGACCATAAAACAAGGGCAGGCGTAGTTGTTGTCATGGCCTTCGTACTTCAGCGATGCTTTTCCTGAAGCTGAAAGAAAGAACGGCTTTCCCACTGATCAACAACTTTACGCTGAGACGTCTGACTGCAGTGAAGAAAGTTTCAAACGCCTGTGAGGGTTCATCATCACCGTTGAGTTTTCTTACTGAACATGAATGCCACATGATTGCTGACATAATGAGGATGATGCACAAGAGCTTTATGTATTCGGACAGCAGCAGGACACCTGCAGAGCTCCTGGTGACTGAAGAAAAAAAAAAAAAAAAAAACATTGGTGAACGGAGGAAATTCCCCTGAGCACATTTCATGTGTGTTGCTGCTGAGTTTGAATCCTTTTCGTTCCATAATCCTGGAATCTCACACCAAATTCCACCATGCATTTTGCTTTTAATGAATCAAAGTTGAAGCTAAACTGGAAAGGTTTCTACAAAAATTTAGAACAACCCAAAATATAAAAGTTGCAGTGAGACGTTTGCATCCTTTTTCCAATAATTATGAAGGTACTCTTAATTTAGAGCCATTTCTACATGCAGCAGACAGATTCAATCAATGTTCCCTAATCAACAAAAGGTCAAAATTATACAGACTTTCACCTGAATCTTTAAAGAGATCATCCTGACAGTTATTTCTTTAAAAGCCAAGGCCAAAGATTCTTGACTTTATGCAATAAATCATCATTGACTGCAGTTTGTATTTTTGTCTTTGGTACTCAAGAGAGTCACTTCAACTCATAACAGTTAAGAAGCTTGTGGACAGTAATAAAGCTACTCGGCGAAAGTCTTACGACAGCATTTCCTCACACCTGCTAAGTTCACAACCAGTTGTTTGAAAGTGTGGTGGCGTGGCGGCGGACCCAAACGCAGCAGGCAGCAGACGTAGAAGTAAGTGGGCGTTTTAATGACGAAAACAAACCAACAAAAAATAAATAAATAAATAAATTCAAAACCCAAGGGTACGAGAAAGTCCAAAAACAAAACTGGAAACACAAGGGAACAACATGTTGTAGTGATGATCAGGGTGACGAGACGGTCTGGCGAGTGGCGACTGGGATAGAGGAGCTTAAATGCTGGGAGGTAGTAACCGGAACATCGGACCTGATGAGATGAGATAACTGGCTGCAGGTGTGAGCAGTTGGCACAGGAGTTTTCTGAGAGGTGGGGTGAAGATGGCACAGGGAAGCTGAGGAGATATACAGGGATAAAAACAGAGAGGAAACACCAGGGAGCTGAAAATATTCATACTAAAGAAAACGTGATAAAGTAGAAGACAGCAGGACATGAGGGAAAAACATAAACAAACCTAAACAGAAAGAAGACTCATCTATCAGTAATAAGAACTGGGGAACATAGAGCTATAGAAACTAGAAGATCTGAACAAAAGGATAACCGCACTAGAACTACTAAAGAAAGAGTAAATAAATCTAAAGTGACAAAATAACTAGAAACACTACAGGGAAAACTATCACTAAAGAAGCTCAACATAGACTCTGACATACAAGAAAAACAGAACCGAACTAAAGAATAAACCTGACTAGAAACACTATGAAGGGCTGCAGATAAGGAAAACAACCAGGCGATTCTAATCACACGAAATAACCTCAACTAATAAAACTGAAATGACCATGAAGGGCTAAATTAAAGTGAACTAAAACATAATGATAAATAAGATCAAACCCAAAGCCAGAGTCCTGACAGAAAGTATAAAATTATTTGAAGGTTTGCTGTTGTGTTTTTTTTTTTAAATGCCACGCCAACAATTGCTGCAACTGAGACACTGTGCAACTCCTCACACGGCCGAATGAAACTCCGTCTGAGCAAAGCCTTAAGAAAGTTCGAGCAGTTTGGCTGCAACCTCTATAAACTTAGCTCACCTCAAAGAAACAGTTAAATTGTTGAAACTTGGGAACAACAAGGTGTTCCAACGGGACCACGATCCCATTCACACCAAACCTGCTTTTTAATTGGATACAACTGGCCAGCTGGTCAACTTCTGAAACTGTTTACTTGAGACCCGTCGAGGCCCAAACAATAGATAATTGAGGACGATGTTTCAAAGTTTGGCCTGCAGGAGTTATGAACAAGAAACATCAACAGTGTAAGTATGAAGCTCTTGCGCAAACTGGAAGCGTTTGCCCTCGCAATCGAATGAAACATAGGAAATGTTCACAGTTGTTCTTCATTGTATCGTCACAACACAATGCAAAAGCAGAAACGACCACGATTCTGCACAATGCTCAGAAATCTTGCCTCCAGATTTCCTGAACCTAAAATCAGCTGCCATCACAGTTTGAATCCTGCTGAATGGTTTGATCCCTGAACTCTGGGGTCTGAACTGAAATGACTAGAGGCGCATTAATTCATCGGTTCAAATGACGAAGCGGATAATATGTGAGGTTGATCTAAAATTCTTTATCTTCAATCTGGAAATATAATTTATTAAGCAAGTGCAAGTGCAGCAAAGCAGAAGCGCCTTAAACAGAATTATTCACGCAAAATGTGAGAATGCTCTCCTGCAGTAAATGTGACTCTTTGCAGTCAGTCTTGCTCTTTTCAAACTCCACGCGATCTCACACAAGTGTTTGCCTTTTTTACTCTCCCCCGCCCTGCAGTCGGCGCGGAGGGGCCCCTGGAGGCTCGGCGATTTCTTTAATGCTCCAAACTTCTGTCATGGCGGTGCGTGAAGCCGGATGATAAATCGGAGTGCTTGCCACTTTTGTCTCCTAAGTAACGCTGCCCGGATGCAAAAACTTCAGGCATGACAAGCGCCGTCCCTCGCCGGCCGATTTGTTTACGGCCATTTGCGTAGGGTCATGATCTTTTTACTCTGCGCTTCCTGATCGCTTGCTTATTGTTTTAAGTAGGTTTGGCAGTTAAGCTCAAATGTCTTGAGCTATACCTCAGGAGTACCAACACCTCAAGGCTGAAATCTGGCTGAATGTTTGTCGTCAAAGCCTTCAATAACTTTGCTTGACCCCAACCTGACCCTACATGCTGGAATTATCTAGTCGAGTCACGCAGTTATTCCTCATTGACACAACCACATGTGCCTATTAGCGATAACCACCGCTGTGGCCCAACAAGTGAGGTCAGCCTAAATCACGGCTGAGCTCTCTCTTCCTCAAGTTGTGGTAGGATGCCCTGGTTCTCCCAACAACAACACTTTGCATGCCCATTTCCATATATTCCATCCACACTGGGTGGGGTGCGTCGACGGAGTGGGGGAGATTTAGATTTGCTCAGTCACTCGACTCCAATCATTTGCGAACGGTCACAGCCCCAACCTCAACCTGGCAGGACCTCGTCTCCGTCGCCCGTAGCAGAAGACGAAGGAGATGGCGATAAAGTGAGTTTCTGCATGTATCATTATTGGGCCTTTAGCACATTTCAGCAGGGAACTTCACACAGCAGCCATGTGGAAAACACCAAGAAGTTTTTCACTCACTGTAAGTCTCTTTTTTTTTTTTTTTACTTTGGGGCATTAGTTATCCTCACATGGTGGAAATGGTTTCGCAGGATTTATCAGGATGTTGTAGATGTTTACACATAGTGGTTGCAGATAACTTGGCTAGTCATGGCTCTTGTTGCTCTTTTCAAGGGTAGATTTTGTTGCTTTCCCAAGGATCCGCTGGACGATGTTGAGACTTGGAGCGAATCCGTGGATAAAGTCCTCGGTTGCAAAGGTGAGGATCTTCAAATTTTTCTCCTTGAATCACCAGAGGGTTAGGGGTTAGGGTTCAAAGTAACAAAACATCATGTGGTCAAGATATCCTCTCATTCAGAGGTCCTCATTCAATTCAGTTCAAAAATACTATACTATACATCTCATGTCCCTTTGGATCCCAAAGGGACATGAGATGTTGCTTCAACTCATCTTAATTCAAATTGTTCAAAGAGTTATGATGACGGCTGTTGGTAGGAAACATCTTTTCTGGCGGTTTGTACTTCTGGAATAATTCATCATCAGTAATAAAGATGGGAACAGATCTTAGAGTTTTTCATTCCCAGTTGAGACAATGGCTTAAACAAAACCACATTTGCGAACACTGATCGATACCAAGCTACGTTGTTGTGGAGAGTTAGCTTTCTCTAATGTGTATTTCCATGTTTTTCTTGTTAAGTTCCAAAAATTTTACGTATGTGTCTCGGTGTGTGTGTGTGACAGGAATCTTTCATTCTAATTTCTCTGTCTTTTAATGAAGGGTCGACCAAGGACTGGGTCTGCAAATTAGCCTGTGGCCAGAGAACAACAATAACTTTGTTTTTAACATGTAAAATGGTCTAATGTTCTGTCCCTGATTAAACGAATGTGAATTGAATTGAATTGAATTGAATTGAATTGAATTGAACTGACACAAATCTCCTGACCCGTGATCTCCAGCCGGACAGATCGCGTTCCGGGAGTTCCTGAAGTCGGAGTACAGCGAGGAGAACATCCTGTTTTGGCTCGCCTGCGAGGACTACAAGAAAATCAAGACGGTCCCTGAGATGATCTCGTCCGCCAACAGGATCTACTCTGAGTTTGTCCACTCAGAAGCACCCAGACAGGTAAAAGAAAAAAAAAAAACACAAAAACATGAGTTACTTCAATTCAGAACCTCGCCGCTCTGACGACACTCTGGGTCGATTGTTCGATTCCAGATCAACATCGACTGCACCACCAGAGAAAACATCACAAAGAACATCTCCCAGCCAACTCTGACGTCTTTCGACACGGCGCAGAAGCTGGTCTACAGCCTGATGGCCAGGGATTGCTACCCGCGCTTCCTAAAATCTGACATCTATCAGGGACTCGTGAGGAAAGCCGACTCCAGGTGACTGTTCCGACGGAAAAGGTCCCTTGAAAACCTCCTGCTGGGCTGCGATGCTGCGTGGATAACTGGTTTATCCCGCACCGTCCTCATCCTGGAGCACAGGGAATTTATCTTTACTTCTTCTCAGCCTGTGTGGTTCTGTAGTGAGTTGCAGCTCTAGAGAATTTACTGTGTATTTATGTTAAGACGAAGCTAATCCTGTACTGCATCTATTTCTTCTAGTCTATGACTTCATAGAATCAGTTCTTTTATTGTAAAGTATTATCAGAACTTTGATTGATTATGCGGAAAGAAATGCTGATTTGTTCTGCAGGTTTTTCTCCCCATTTTAATATGCAAAAACATAGTTCTATCTTACTTACAAACTAAATCTGTCCGGCTTGGGTGTGGTCCTTCTGAGTCCAGTGCAAAAGATTTGCAGGGTGCAAAAAGGTCACTCGAACACCAGGTGGCAGCAAAGGTCTTGAAGTTACAAATGCCTTCTCGTTTCCCCCTACGGAAGTCCAAAAGTGTCACAATTTTAGTGAGATGAGTTGAATAAATATTTTTGACATGTGTAAATTGGAAAACCTTTAAAAAACACACATTAATTGACTAAATTCATGAATCAACAATTATTTAATGTTCTAATATTTAATTAAATTCCTGAATGAATGCGTGAATAATTCTGTAAGATTTTAATGCATTACTTGATTGTTTATTTTATTACTTTGTTATTTAATTTGTGAGACACAAAACTCAGAGTCAGTGGGAGGGGCAAACATTACTGTAGATGCATTTTTGTTTTTGTGGAAGTTAACTAATTCAATTCAATAATCATAATAATTTTGATTATTTCAAGAAATATGGAACCAACGAATCAGGGAAATAACTGTAAATACTTTTAAATCACAATAAATTTTCTCTTAAATTAACAATACTGATATTTCCTCATTTGGTAATTTATTAACTCATTTACATATTTATGATTTCTTTTTATCATATGTACTGATTTCAATTTCACTTAAGTTATCACATTAAATCTTTTTATTTATTTTTTTTTTTTGTTTGTTTGTTTTTTACAATTTTGAATTTTTTTTTAGGGGTAGTTTAGCACTACTGGCCTCCCGTACATTTCACTGACTCTAGAAGACCCTAGAAGCTCCATTTATTAGAGAAGTGCATGAATCACCTCATGTCAATCTTGTAGCTGCAGCCAGACACCAGACGGTGGGCGAGCCGGGGGGAGAAGTGCGCACTCATTGCGAAAACGCATCTGAGGACAGTCTGAGCTGATCTGGGCTGATCTGATCTGACGGCTCACGCCAAAGATCGAAAACCCCAAAATTTAGTTTTTAAGCGAATCAAAGGTAGAGAGAAGGGACGACTGTAGCCAGCATATGTTTTTGTTTCTGCTTACCACTTCTCATTGGGACATGATGGATTTTACAAGCTGATGGAATAGTTTATGCAAACGGATGTAAATGCAAAAAGAGCGCAGCCTTCTCCCCGTCACGTTCAAGCACCAACACAACAAAGAGGCTGAAACTCTCTCTGAAAGTCTCCATCTTAACCTGAGGTTGCACTGCATAAAAGTTTCAAAGAATAAAGTAATGTGCATCTTATCCTTATTGTCACGTGTTTGTTTGTTTGTTTTGTTGTTGCTGTTTGGAAAGTAGAAGTAGTTCCCTGCCTGGTTTCACCTTGTGACTGCTGTGCGCTTCGTGAACACGTTGTTCAGTTTGTGTTGGTGGTACTGAATGTACGGGGAGTTTTATTTAAAGAGGTGCTCCACGTGTTCGGCAGAGCGTCGTGACACCCCGCCACAACTTCCTCTGCCAGAGATGACTGCGGCTGCCGCCTCAGCCGGAGTGATCTGGCGGAGGACGGATCGTTGTTGCTCGGGCCTCTTGTTTGTCAAAAGAACGGGACAGAAATAGTGTCCATTAGACGTCGTTTCTCTAACTCGCCGTCAAACCGCCTCACGCAAAACCCCTGGAAACGTCACCAACCGCTAATGACAACAACCGACGGAGGAACTGGTGAGGTGTTGCAACCGATAAAGACGAGAGAAAAAAAACTTGATAACACTTAATGTCACCGCTGCAAGTCATCAACATGTACAAAGCATTTCCTGTTAGAAACATGCGAATGGCGACGGGGAGATAAAGAGCTGCTTACATCAGTAACAGCATGTTTGATATCCTGAAATCAAACATGCTGTAGGCTACATATTTTGAGATTATGTACGTCTTCGCGTTGAGTCTCTGGACTCTTTCGACGCTTCACAGCGTCAGAAGTTCCACTGATAAAAATATTCGTAGCCTGCTTTGTTAAACAGTGTCTGACCCCTTGAGTTTTGTTTTGTGTGTGTGTGTGTGTGTGTGTGTGTGTGTGTGTGTGTGTGTGTGTGTGTGTGTGTGTGTGTGTGTGTGTGGGGGTGTGTTTGTTTGTGTGTGTTGTCTGAGTACAGCCTTCAAGCTTCAATGTTTCTTTGGGATTTTATTCAATACACCAATACGGTCTAAGACAGCAGCAGATCTCTCCGTCCAATATGACGAAAACTAGCTTGCAAAGAAGGATGGGTGGAAACTTTGATCTCTTGGTGTGCAAAGCTGGGAGACATCTTTTGTACAGCAAAAGTTAAATAAGAGTTAACATGAAATATTAACTCAGTGGAGATTAATAGAAATGCAGTCACACTTTTTAGATTTTTATCTTTATAGTATTATGTGTTTTCCAGCCACATAATGTCAATAAGTGGCAAAATCAAAGAACTGTGTTAATTTCAGTTGTTATAAAATTATCTAAGAATCAAATATGACTGAAAAGAAATTTAACTTCAGGAAGTCAAACCAACATGGCCCTTCCTTTAATCCTTTAGCAATGTTTTTGCCGGTGTTTTCTCTGAGGAGTAGCTCCTATAATGAGCTGATGTTCAATTCCATTAGGTGTTTGCTAATTGCCTCTGGCTAGTCTGAAGGAGCTCAGTGAAGAAGGGAGTTCAGTGAGGCAGAAGCTTGAGAAATGCAGCTCCAAGGAGGAGCCTGGTCCTTGAAGGCAGAGCTAGACCCACCCAGGCATTTTGTATACCTAATGGGAAATTAAAGAAATTGTCAAACATGTGTGAAAGAGGCAAAGCAGCACTCCAAGAATATCATTAATGAGGGAATAACATAATATGATAGGCAGTTTTACATGAAACTGTCCCTTTAAGAAATAAAACATGCATTACTTTCCTTCCACTTCTCAATTATGTAAATACAGTTAATAAAATCGTGACATTTAAGATTAGAATATTACATTAAACATTTTTAATCCATAAATGTGAGATTAATGAAAGGTGTAGGATCTGGTTGAAGGTTGTTCTATTTAAAAGTGACTTTTTTATCTGACAACCAAACCTCATTGGTGCACATATACTAGTTTATCAAAAATGACTAAAAATCCAGACAGAGCAACACGCACACACTAAGATGGAAAAGCTTGAAACGCCTCTTTAATTATTCATATTTGGCTTCTTGGATGCCCAGACTGCAGAAAAAAAAAATCAAATTGAGGGGGAAAAAAAGGGCCAGTCTTATAACAAAAAAAAGATCTTTCTCAAATGAACATGATTTAAAAGTTATGACTTTGAAAAAAAAAGCATAAAATCCAGCAAAAATCAGAAACTGGACCAGACGGAGGCATTACGCTTTCTGTTTTATCTGTGGCATTCATTTTGGATGCAGCAGAGGAGATGGGAACAAATTGTGTCATTGTGACAAGCTGTTAGTAACAAAAAGCCCCAATATGCCATTTAAAACGGATTCTCTGCTAAGTTCTCCTTTGTAGAAACGGCAGAGGTTAATCCCTGGAGTTCAGAAGACTTTGTATTCCTGGATGATGTAAATGTCAGAGTTAAGAGGCTTAGCAAACAAAAACATTCGTCTGAAAATGATTACTTGAAAATTGCTGAAAATAAAAAAATACATACATATATGTGGATTTTATGACCACTTAGATTATAAGAAAACCTAAACTGCAAAACATAGAAAATCTATGAATGAAAAAAAAAGACTTTAGCATCCTTTAACACAGGGAGTGTCAAACTCATTTTCCTTTAGGGCCTCAAGCAGCTTCTTAAAGGGCCAGTTGTTCAAGAGTGTATTAATAAAACCCAGAATGTATTAATAAAACCTGTTAAACTGCTTAAAAGTAAATCAGTTCTTATAATTAAATAATATTGAACATCTTTCCAGTCCCTTCAGGACTCCACAATTGTTTTGGGGATTTTTTTTGTGATTAAAAAGTGTTTGTGGTAGTTATTTAGAAATATTTGAGCTTATGTATGTAACAAATGCATGGATTTGCTTCTTTTTATTACTCGCCGGCAGCCAGATGATTATGGATCATGATTCAACATCTTGTAAGGCTGGAACAGCTGTTCAGTAGAAGTAGGACATACTGCCACCTACAGGTGAGAGTAAACTGTCAGATCCAAAATATTTCACCATTTTTGTGAAAAATCTTTAATAAAATCCCTATTATGCAATAGTACATAATAGGGATTTGTTGATTTCCACGATAATTCCCAGGAAAGTTGAGGGACTGATTTATGCACTTTGGCAGTAAACAGATAAAACCGATCTGAGTTGATGAAATAACATTTAAACACAGTTTTATCTAAGGCAGGCCAGCTTTGGACCCCAAGTCTTGAGGTTTTCTTCCAGGACTGCATCCCACACAGCACTGTGGTGCTGCCACTGTGTTTCCCACTGGTAACGGCGTGTTTAAGGTGATTCTGCAGCGTCTAAAACTCACAAGTTTGAAGATTTAGCTTCTTCCTCAGCCGAATGGGAATAGGAAAGCAGCGGTGTCAACTTTGAATGTTGACACTGCTGCTTTTTGTTGAATGAAAATTCTTCTGATTACTTCCCCAACTCTAATAACAAGCATGAGTTTAGCGATAAAGTGTTACTAAACCTGATTTATGACAAAATCAATCTTGTACAAGGATGAAGAAAAACAGTGCTTTTAATTCTAATTCTATATTTTAGGCTATGTGGTGATTTTAGACGTAGCTCGGCGTTAGTCTGTGCATGTCGGCCAGGTGTGCAGGTCTGCTTCTAAGTTTGTTTGTCCTGTGACTGGATCAGGCTGTACCCCACCTCTTTGCCACTGCTGGGAAAGTTTCCCTAAAATAGATATGAAGACACATGAATTGAGTGACCCTTTTTTGCGGTAAGTTAGGGGTTTTTTTTCCCAGCTATACAAACATAGCCTAATTTCCATTTCACTTCTGTTTATTACCAATAAATACTGTTTGACCACATCAGAGAAGTGACACACCTGCAAGGTTCAGTCAAATCAGAAGGCATTTCCAGTTACTCTTCTTCTTTGGTATTTTTGTTGCATGCAGGCCGGACCATTTCATCCAACCCTGCCTTCCATTCATCCCTGAATCCCAATGCATGTACCTTGCATTATGGTTTTATGGGTTTTATGCTTTTGGTAAAAGGAGATTCCACAGACTAAAAATTTAGGATCTCTGGCTCTGGTTGCCCACATCTTTCAAGGAGGCAACAAAGTAAGTGTCAGGAAGTGCCTTCACACATGCACTGGTACACCTGGAAGCTGCCATGATCAGTAATGGAAAGGCATTTCTGGATGTTTGCAGTCTCCGCTCCTTCATCACGAAGGTGCACTATCGTTTGCAGGTCAAGACTCTTTGACATGAAGTTCACTCATCCATGTCCTTATGGACTTTACAACTTTGACAGCATAACATTGCCCCAAATGTCTCAGCATTCTGAATTATCAATAGTTCCTTTTCACTAGAACTAAGGACAATAACCTGACACAATAATAACTTCTGCACTAGTCGTTGCACTTGACACAATAGAGTCAAAAAATCTTTTAAATTCTTTGTACCTGATCTTAAGCTGGCTTGTTTGAATGTCAGACAGAGATGCGATTTGTCACACTTAGTAACACTTCCCCATTGGTCTGGAGTCTAGACATGCCATACATCATTGCATCCAAGGCTTTGCATTGCCCATGGTGAGGTAAGGCTTGTCGGTGGAAACCCAATCTGAAGGCCACGTGAAAGTTTGAAGGTTTCTGAAGAAAGCTGTTGCAGTATGCACTGGGCCCACTCTGTGACTGTACCTGGCCTACCGCTTTTTGGTCAGGTTGCTCCCAACTCTTTCTGTTTTGCTGTGATGCAGCAGACCGCTGACTGTAGAATAATGAACTGTGAAGAAATTTCATGACTTGCCTTATTGCACAAGTCACATCATGTCACTGTACCATGCTGCAGTTTATCTCCTGAGAGCTGTTTAAAGAGATGTTTATAGAAATAGTCTCTCTGTCCAAGTACTGATGTTAACACCTGTGACAGTCAAATTATTTCAATAATTTAACAAAAATGTTAAATTATTTCAACATTTTTGGCATCCAGTCACTGCTGCTGCCTTGCATCCAGAGGTTTCCGGGTCCAAAGCCATCTCATCTCAAAATCCATGTTTTTGGCCACATTGACTTTAACAAAAAAAACTTTCAGCAATCCTGGTGACTGTGGTAGGAGTTTGCCCTACAATTAGCGGGTTACCGGTTCGATTCCCGCTCCATCCACCTCCGTTTT